AGAACAAATAAATTTTTTGCTTATTCTAAAAAAATGTTAATATAATAAGTATATTCAAATAGTTTAATTAATCGTTCAGGTATTCGTGATCACCTTCTGTAGAGTCTCTCGATCATTCGATTATATATCAAATACCCAAAAGGAATTTCGTAGAGTAAGCAGAGTTTTATGGTCTATTAATCACCTCTCCTTTGTACCTTTTGTATTGCAGGAGATAGCTTAATTATTTTGACAAAAAAAAATAATAACTATAAGCGTAATATTATTAATCTAACTATAGCAATTCTTTAGCCTCATTAATTTCAGTTTCATTCTAGTTAAGTGAGCTAAATATATGAAACGTATATTCGTTTTGATATTTCTCTATAAACTTTGCCCTTATAGCTCTTTTTTCGGCTACTTCATGGGGGATACCATCTTTGACCATATTCTTATATACTATAATAGACTAATGCCCATAAGGCAAGCTGGTTATCTAATCTGATAATATCCAACGTTTAGTATTTATAGGATTGAGAGCCTTCTTCTCAGACTCAACCAGAGATATAACATGATCTTTTGATTGGAATCCTATATTCTTAGCATAAAATGCATTTTTCTGAAAGAGACAATCCCGATAGACTAGGGTCATTGGATTAGCATCAGTTCATATTGCTAAATCCTTAACTTCTTAATCTGTTAATAATGACTTATCTATCAGATCATCAAGCAAAGGTCCTTCTAAAGTTGACATATATGATTCTATAATCATCTCATTCATACTCTTTTTGCTGACCCCCTTATGCTTTGACTTTGTAGATTTATCAGCTAAGATATAGTGATATGATTTTTCCTGAATATGAAATGACTCAGTAATCACATTTCCTGGAATCTCATCTTTAAAAAGTCTAATAGTCTTCGAATCATTAAGATCAAAGAGATCTGGTCATTCTGCTATATCATTATAGATATCTTCGGTCTCAATTATGAATATAAAGGAGTTCATATCCATATATCCAAGCTTTGCCTTGTTTCCATATTTCTTTTTAACATAATCATACCAGAAGTGTTACATTAAAAGCTTACTAAGACCTAAAACTGATGCTCTAACAATGATTGGCTTATTGAGAACTACACTAGCTTTTCTCATATATGCACCTACTAGCGTATCTCCAAATGGTCTGCCATACTTGAAATCTGGGCTTTTGATTTTCTTGAGAAACTTCTTCTCATCTGACTCATTATTATAGGCCATGATTTTAACATCCTGATACTTTCTAACATTTTCCATAGTCTTATCATATACCAAATTATTCATGAGTTTGAAGAAGTCTTTTTCGAATACATTTTTAGCTTTTTGGCATAATTTAGTATTTTTTGCAATATATGAAGCTAACCAGTTTGTCTGGTTAAATGATAAGATTTCTGTATCTCATCTACAACTATACCTAATTTTATATAATACTGGAGCTCCTGATAATGAATGACATAATTTTTCCGTGAGCTAAGATGTGGGATTAATTTTTCTGTTGCATAAAATCGTCCACCATCTATATCATTCATAAGTTTGGCATTGTATGGGCATAGCATATCCTTTTTTACTGCAACATTTTTTACAGATGAAGGTAAGTCCCTCAAATAGTTGATAGTCTATAGGGGAAAATGGGAATTAATCATTAAGAAGAAATCACGTAATGTATCTGCTCCAGTTTTAAGAATCATTTCGAGATATATCTTTTGCATTTGGAATTATTCTTTAGATATTCTTACTAGCAACCCACTTATAATTTCCAATTGGAAGAAATTAGCTTATAGTCCAGCCATAAAAATTATTCACATCAACATAAGAGATCCATATTGTGGGTTGGAATGGATCGAATCCTCTCCCATACTAGGATTATTTGCTTGAAAATATTTATATATTGCCATAGCAATACCACCTCGCTTTGCTTTTTCAATGAAGTCATGCATTGCCATTTCTGTAAATAGCTCTATCTTGACCTTGGTCATCTTAAGCATAGCATCCCAGGATAGAGAAGGAGCAGATACATAATGGTTAGAATCAAGGCCATAATGATGCATAGATGTCTTTTTAAATGTTGTTTAGACATCTGCTAGACTAAGCATGTCTATCTTAAGATAGAGATCATTATATTCTCCTAAGTTTTTGCATTTGAATTCCTTCCATACCTTTTGAGCATACTCATAATCATCTTGAGAAATCTTACCTCCAAAGACACTATGAAACTCATTAATCAGAGGTAATTCTGTTTTCTTAAATCGGTTATGGGAGTCTATATACTCATGAGGAAAGATTTCTTTGTGATATGCTAAGGAAATCTGTTCTGAAGAATAGCCTTGCTTCTTAAAATACTCAGTCGTAATTGGGTGGTTACCACCAAAATTCTTTGTAAGAGAGGCCAAGCTAGAATTCATAAATTGCATACTATCAATATACTTAAGCTAGCCTACCTTTATAGATTTATATTACTCAAATGTTTCAGCAATAATAGTAATTCGAAAAGAATTATCCAAGCATCCAACAGATTTACAACTCAAGTGAGAGTCATATTCCCAGAAGTTATGAAATATAATTGGGATTAGCGTCTTCTATGGCTCAATCTGAAGTTTAAAATTGCAAGTATTATGAAATGCCCTCGGAACTCACCTGTGATATGACAGTGATCCCAAACCTTTTTATCTCTAGCTTCTTCCCTAGCAAATTCGGCTTGTGTTTTAGAGATTGCTAATTTTAAGGATTTATAGTCTTCAGGATTCTTAACAGCCTTTAGCAATTCTATATAAAGATTTTTGAGATCCTTTTCTGATTTGATATTTTTTTCCATTTCTCAGATTCTTTTTAATAATTATGCAATTTAGGATCTTAAACAATTTCTGTAAGCTTGTTAGTGAGATTTGCAATCTTTCTTTCTAACCTATTAATCATATCTGTATCTATATTAAACTTGTCTTCACAGAACCAGCATCTATCTGCCTCTTTAAACCTTCTTTGGTAGTTATCCGTAATAATATGCTTATGCTTGACAGCTAAGACCTTATTTATTTCTACCAATTCTTGATCGATCCTTCAAATGAATTCCTCTGTGACATTTTCTTCACAATATAAGAAGAGTCCCCATGTTTCTTCAGTATCAATCCAGTGAACTTTGTAGCTAAAACTATTAGCTTCTTCTTCTGCTATTTTTCGCATATTTTCACCATAATGTGTATCACACTTCTTCTTTAATGACTTGAAATCTGCAAAGATAACACATAAAGCATTGATCTGACGTCCATAATTCCTAAACTCTTCAAAATCATTAACATCTTTTACAGGCATAGTGACTCTTTGTGAAGCTTTACCAAATCCAAAACACCATTGCTGGTGATAGTCTAATGATTTTATAGATGGAAAACTTTGAAAGCATCGGTTGCATAAATCTTTATGAGATGTATCCTTATTTACTAATCCATTCAGATTCTTGATCCAAAGGAAGTGATTCTTTTGCTCATATTTTCCTTCCTCAGATTTTGTAATATCTGTAAGGGCCATAAGATAAATAATATGTTGTCTGTTATAGTTTTTACTGTAAAGAATGGGTTTAGGAATACATGTTTCTTCTTCCTACTTCCAGATATTTATGGAGATATCTGGATTCATCTCCTCAATTTTTTGAAATGTTCGTGAACAAATTGGAGTAAGCATTATAATTCCATCAAGCTTTACCACATTTAAATATGGTTTATATTTTGTAGCTCAAAAGATTCATTCAAGATGATCTGTATATCCATTCTGATGGGAAAAATAATAACCTAATGCACCTTAAAGACATTTTTCAGAAGGCTTTTTTGTCTTTGGATCAATAAGACCTTATTATCTGGATTGATTGTACATTTTGTATTGGAGAGTTTTTTGGGAGTATTAATGTAAGAACCTCCAAAAGTTCAACGAAGTGTATATGACTCTATCACCAGATTGGGTTATATTCTCATCTATATATTGTTCTGAAAGAATTTCACATTGGTAGCTTCTATGATATGGATGATGATATTTGGCAATATAGTTTGCCAGATCTGAAGGATCACCTGATTTATTATATTTGTAAGATATATATGTAGCATTTACGACTAATGCTGATTTTACTTGATCCTTTCTTTGAAGCTCTTCTTTAAGAACATTTGTAATTGCATTACATGCTGATGCTATGAGGTGAGGTATATATGATGCATCTGCATATTCTTTTGAATTGTCTTACTTTTTATTGAATGCATATGCTGGATTTTACATTATAGAATAATCCCTTCCATACAGTTATACAATTAAGAGAGCTGTGTTGTCTTTCAGGATCACGTTCTCTTTCTAAAAATACTATATCATCATTAGGTGGTTTCTCCTCTTTGTAAATTCCTTTTGCTTCCTCATAAATTGATCGGAAATGCTTTTTCTTAGTATATTCCTGAGTGTCTTATCACTCAACTTCACTAGGTTCTTTCTCACTAATTAATTCCTTCATATATTCTTCATTAAAAATCTCAATACTGGATGGTAATTCCTCTCTTTGAACTTAAGTTGATGGACCAGGACATGCTTCAGAATCAGGAGTTTAGTTAATCACTTTTGGCTTCTCCTGAGTGTCTTATCGCTCAATCACGCTAGGTTTCTTCTTTTGATCCTCCTTTTAACTAGAAGTCTCAGAAGCTAGAGCTTGCTTAGGTATACATTGATTTTTATTACTTTTGTAATGCTAACGAAGTTTTTGAGATATAGCAAAAGTCTTATTACAGCAAATACATTTACGATTTTTTTATCTTTTCTAACCATGATACTATAATAAGTCTAACCTAAGGATAGGAACTGTAATTAATATGTTGCAACTTTTAATGTTGCAACTTACATTGTAATTAGTTTTAATCTATATATGTTGCAACTTATAATGTTACAACATACGTTGCAATTAATTTTAGCTTATGTTGCAACATTTTGTAAATTTGAAATCAATTGCTATACCATCTTTAGTCTAACCTCTAATTTATGTGTAAACTTTTGCTCAATTTAAATTAATTAATCATATAATCCTAATATTCAATTACCTTTTTTTTCAAAATTATGAGAGAATAGGGTAAAAAGCGTCAACCTTGCATGGAATCAAGATGTAGTAAGCCTACTAGATCATCTTGTGGTCATTGTTATCTTCATACTAGGGGCTATTATATGATTCAATATGTTAATAGACTTCGGGATAAGGCCCTAATATTTGATATATATTCAGGAGGTTAGACTTTTAATAAAAGATAAATTTATTATATAGTTAGTTAAGAGGTTAGACTTTTTTTTACAGTTAGATTTCACATATAGGTAGACGAAAGATTAGACTTTTTTGTCTCAAGTTTGTGTAAAGGAAATAGCTCTAGAATAGTTTTCTGTATGTTGATAAATTGATAATATGCTAAAACATAATCATTAAGCTTTTGATTTACAAACTAGGTAACAGCTAAATATAACCTCTTCAAGGTTAGACTTACATATTATATACATTTAGGCTTGCATTATCAGGCTCAGCTTAAATTGCGTTACTTTGTTTCTTGATTTTTGATGGCCCCTCTAGAGGCAAGCAGAATAGCATAAAAGTTATTATTTATATTGGGTTTGCAATGTCAGGTTCAGCTCAAATCACATCACTTTGTTTCTTGATTTTCGATAGCCCCTCCTAAGGCAAACAGAATAGTAAAATTTTTTTGAAATATTATTTGAGATTAAAATCAGGCTAGAATAGTAAAATTAAACATTGTAATTCTTAGTATCAAATAGGTTAATTTCTAGTCAAGTTCAATATCATCATTTATATTTGAGTTAAATTGTGCTAGATACTTGAATTTGATAATTTGATTCATATAACTAAAATGGATTCGTGAACAGACAGAAAACCTTTTTGAATATCTTTTAGATTTTTGTCTCAGAAATCCCATTTTGGCTCTACGTAAATTATTTAAATATAATAATAATTATTATTAGTAAAAAAAATAATATTTATAAATTTTATAAATAAATAAATCAATTATATAAATAAATCTAATAAATCTAAATTTTCTATAAGAAAATTAATAACTAATATTATTATAAAATAAATAATTTATAATAATTAAATAATTAATACATATACATATAGAATATAAATTTTATTAAAATAAAAATAAATAAATAATATAAATAATATAAAAAGATAAAAATGTTAAACAATGTTAAAAAATGTTAATTATATTAATATTTATATAACTTTATATTATTAATTTTGATATTAACAAATATTAATTTTATAATAATAGAAAATTTTTTAATTAAACTTATTAAAGTTTAAAAATTTTAAATAAAAATATTTATTATCTCTTAAATTATATATTTGCTAATAAAATTTTTATTTACTTATTTTTACTATTATTATTGGCTAAAATTCAATATTAAAGTAATAATCTGTAAAAAAAAAATCTACAAATTATTAGATTTAATTTCATGTTGATTATAAAATTAGAGGATCTACATAATTCCTAATCAGAATATTACAAAAATAATATAATTTTTAAATTAGATTTTAGATAATATAATATTATTAATATTAATTAATAAAAATAGTATTTACAAAAAATCAAATCCAAATTTGAATCTGATCCAGATCTAACAGATTAAATCAAATCAGATTAATCAGATTTGAATCAGATTCAGATTCAGATTTTTATTTGATTCAATCTGTCAGATCTGGATCAGATTCAAATTTGGATTTGATTCAATTTGACAGATTTAGATTTGGATTCAGATCTGATTGGATTTGAAATAAAAAATGTTGTTCCAAAAGTCAGAGGCAGCCTTTATTAATAAAAAAATTAATTTTTATTAATTATTTATATTAAAATACCATCCTGAAAGTTGGACACAGCATTTATTATTAAAAAATTAATTTCTAATAATTTTTTATATTAAAATGCTACTCTGAAAGTCAGACACTATTAAGCTTAAGCTGTTTATCATTAAGTTAACAAAGATTATTTGTTAGCAGGAAGTTTAAGTACATCTAAACTATAAAGAAATAAACACAAATAATTAAATTGAAGGGTTAAATTATTTTTATTGATATAGATTTAAAAAAGAATGAATTATTTTATAAGCAAAGATAAGTTTAAGAAATAAAATGTTATTGATTTATTAGAGAATTGTACCATTTATTGAGGCAGAAATACAAGATATTTATATAAAATGCATCAATATGAAATAAATATTAAGAAATATAATAAAATAAAGAAATTTAATATATTAGAGAAATATGTGAAATTAGAGATCGCTAAGAAATTAGTGAAATTAGAGATCTCAGAGAAATGTTAGAAAGTTGAGAATCATGATCGTTAAAATTACTATTTACCAATTATATTTGATACAATATTATGCG